ATCAAGCGCGGCTGGGCAGAGCTTGACGAAGCGGGGTGGTGGGAAGCGTTGCTGCAGGCCCCCGCCGGGCGGCTGGTTTGCAGCTCCCTGTGTCCCCCCCCTTTCACAGAAAGACCCAAGCTACCGGATAATTATACTCGGGACACCTGGCAGAAACTTCATGAAGCGGTGGGAGCGATACAGGGCAGCGTTTCCATTAAATACAACCTTGAAGAGCTCTACCAGGTAAGGCGTGTAGGGCTCGCCTTCACTTTGACAGGAGGAAAACTGACTGCTTTGGGACTTTGACCGAGCTGCGTGGTTAACTTAATGTGTTTTGATTTGTTAAAAACCGATCACGTTTCCCAAACTGTCTGCTCCCTACTCTGTTTCTGGCCAGTTTGCAGTTTTAGGTGCCAGGTCCTCGGAGAGCTATGAGGATCTGGGCCTGTGAAAAAGCAGTTTGCGTTGGGAGACGCGGGAAGCTGCGCCTGGGCAGGGCTGAGGTTTCAGTCTGGGTCTCTCCCATACGGTGCCTACTCAGGATGCTGAAAGCGGCATGTCACACGCGCTGGGTTGTGTGAATACGTATTTTATGATGATTTCTCTTTTGTATGTGCTTTGGTCTCTTGTAAATAGTAATGCTGAAATATTTGCCATTATTAGATGATTAGACTCAAGCATCAATACCCTTTGGGGAATTAAGAAAGAATCTTGGTTGAGCAGGCAGCAAACTATCAGTTCACCTGTGGTTCAGATTACTGTTACATTTTCGTAACAATCAGGATCTTGATTTTTTTTATTTGAATGATGAAAAAGTATCTCTGGAACATCTGGATTACTGGAGCAGGGGCTAGGGGAGGTAAAAGAGAAATGCTCGTGAGCCATTTCTTCCTTTCTACTTTCTCCACTTATATATGGTTTAGTTCTATGTATTTTAATGTATGTGCTTTGAGGTATTTAACCGAAGCAGTAATTTTGTGGAGTTGTTATGTTAAAAAAAATTACTGGTGCGCTACATAGCTTAAGCGAGTTAGGAGTTCTCTGTGGGTGCAGGTGTTTGATCTGCAGATGTGGATCGTGTTGTCAGATCAGGACTTAAGACATTATTATGCTCAGCTAAAATTTTCTAAGTGTTGTCTGCAAAGTGCAGACTGTGAGGGAGGAGAAAGCCAGCAGCCTATACTGGGTCTGTGCTGAAGAAAAGCAGGATGAATTAGAAAGCTGACTAGACTTGTCTCTGTGATTAGTTAGGGTGTATAGTATATGGGTCTAAAATGGCTGATTATGTAAGTGCGTATTCATTTAATATAATTTATTGCCTTTAAAATAGGTAACTTGACTGCAATATATTAATCTATTAATACTTGCAGGTTTGCAGAGTTTGAATTACATAAAACATTTTATGGTTTTAAACTCAGCTTTTGAAAAATCCTGCTTTTTCATGCCTAGCTAAAAAAAAACCCTGCAGATGCTTTGAGCGTTACCTAACTTGTTTTTAGAGGCTCAGATATGAGATTATAGGAACATGGCTATGAAATCACCGGGGTACAGACTGGAGTTTTGGCAGAAGAGGAGGGGAGAGATTTAAGATAAACTGTGAAGGGAGAACTGCACTTCTTGCTTTTTCTGTTTGCCTGCTTATTTGTAAGAACTGCGCAAGACCAGTCCAATAATCTGTAAGGCAGCGATGCAAATCAGCAAGATTCCTGCCCGGTGGGTGGTGGTTGTCAGTGTGCCTGTGCGTAGATAGGTACTTACTCTCCTGCCAAAGGAATAAAAGATGAAGTTCAGCATCCATTGGAAACCTGATCTGTACTTACAGATCGTTTTAGCTGCCTGTTGGTGAGCACTGAGTCATCCACAGGGGGAAATTTCTCTGTGTGCATCGATTCTTACTATCAGGGCTTTTTTCTTTTTGACGTCTTTGTTTGACATTATGGGAGGAAGTGAGAGGCCTGTGAGAGTTCAGTGAGGTGAGCGGGCTGGTGTACCAGCCTGCCTTTGAACTTTCTGATTTATTTATTGAATTTGGCACGGTGGCTGAGGAAAAAAACCTGAAGAACAATGATAAGTCCTTGTGGGAAGCCTGAAGGATACTCCTTTCCAGGCATTACAGGCAGTATGGGGTCAGGCATGAAGGTGCTTGGCAGAGACATAGTCAGTGAGCAGTGGGAGGGTGGCAGCCAATTTTTTGTGACTAAAATAGAAATGATGTCTGGGATTGGTGGTAGATTGCACAGATTTTGATAGAAGCAGCTTATACTTGATGGGATAAAGTGGGGCAGTGCAAAGAATTGCCGAGTGTGGACTGAGTGATAAAAATAATGGAAAAAGAAAATTCCCTTTGCAGCAAAGTCCTAAATAACACGAAATGGGGCAGCACTGCCCTTGTGGAGAACAGAGTAGGGCGGTGTGGTAGTGAAGGAAAAAAAATCATGAGTGTCCTAAGAAGACTTTTATTTAAATAGATCAAGAGGGGAGGGCTATGGCTTAGGGAATGCAACAAACTATCTGCAGAATGATTAGGTGTGAATACTGTTTGTTGCAGATGTCATTTTACTTACCTGTTTTAAGACCAAATGAAAACATAGCGTAGGCACTGTGTGATAGTTTTGTTTGTTTGCTTTCTTTAATATTGTTTGGAAATTGATGAAACCATAGTTGATGTGCATTTAAACAGAAGTTACCCCATGGAGAGATCTCTGAGAAACAGGTTCATTTTGTTTTAGAAGACAAACTCTTCAGGATGTTAGAACATATACAGGTAATAATACAAGAAGTAGCAAGAATTTGCATGCTAAATGTTAAAACAGAAGACTCTACTCAAAACAAACTATTAAAAGGTTGATTTGAAACAGAAATTCTACTAGATTTGTGTAGATGTGGAGTCTAAAAGTGTTGTCTGTCTTGTATCCTTGTAGATGTGATAATTACTGTAGCTTTTTCCCAGACTAATTGTGTGCAAGACAAATAAAAGTCAAATCAAATTTCTTCAGAGAGGCAGCAAAAACTCTGAAACAAAAGGTGAAGAAGGAGAAAATTACTGGATTTTATGCCCCCCTCCCCCAATCAAGAAAAGCAGAAACAGGTAGTAGAGGCAGTACTGAGGTGATACGACTGCCGTTTGAAATACACTTTAAGCCAGCACCATTGCCCAAAGAAGCAGCCCTGCTTTTCCCCTCCCCTCTCAGCCCACACACTTGCTAGCCCATGTGTTTGGGTGGTCTTAAACTGAAAGAGAGTGAAGAACATTTACTAATGCTTTGACAAAGAGTTACACGCTGGCATTAGGCACCATAATGTTTAATATTACAAAGAAATGAGACACATCAAAAAAAGCTAAAATTTGGGGAAAACTGAGTAAAGGCCAAGCACTGGGAAAATACTGAAACTTTGTCCAAGTTCATTGCTGCTATCAGAAAATTTGTCAATAAAATTGGACACTGTAAGGAGCAAAGGAAAATATTCTTGAGTCAGTTTTGGTTGCCTGGGTGCAATAGTTCTTTAAATCTTAGGCAGCGTTCTCTGCAGTATCAACTTATAGCTTGAAAACAGTTGAGGTGAAGTTAAAGGAAGAGACAGCTGGGTTTTTAGTTCTGAAACCCATGTCCAACTCCTTTGGATAATTTTGTATGAAGCGCTGAATGGCCAAAAATCCTTAATGTAAACTTTACAGTTCTCACAGAACATTTGGATGTCTTCATTGTGATTCATTTCAGATGCTGTGGTCTATTAATAAAATAATTTATTGAAATACAGCACACAAGTTAAAATAAAGTGTGCCTGGAACAAAGTCTAAATATAGGCAACAGTATCAAGTAGGGCTACATTTTCTCTTTGGCATTCTCCTTGAGTTTCTTGTGAGGAAAAAATGTCAGTGTAAGGCAATGTAATTACTGAATAGCTGAACAGCAGTATTCTAGATGTGGCCAGAGCTGTCTCAGCGTAGCCTAGGTCAGCTGCGTAACAACTCGATTTACATTAATGTAGTGACCCCAAGAACATCTAGTTTTGGGCAGAATCGTTCTTCTTGGTCAACTATGGATAGATACTCAACTAAATCCCATGAGGTCCTAATAAATCAATTCAAGTCTTTAACGGTTAATGTGGGGGTTTTGTTGGGTTTTTTCTATTATTTTTTTCTCCTCATTTTACCTTAGCGTGAGTATGTGAATCAGTGGAAATGTTCAAAAAGAAATAAGTTAATAAAATGACAGGAAAACAGCTGTATTCATTTACCATTTAGAGTGGTTGATTTGTCTACCTTAAAGTTATTAAGAAATTAAAATATTTGGTATGATAGTGTTCCCCCAAAGAAGTGCGTGTGTGCATGCCTTGGAGGATGCATAAGTTGGGCTTACAGGAAGAGCAGTATTTGGGGAGGGAAATTCTGGTAACAGCACATCTGAAATATGACCCAGAGGGTGATGGTGGACATTGTTGGTACACAAAATCTAGCAGTATAAGAGGGGAACAAAATTTAAAAAGAATCATGAAGTCTTAATTTTTCTACATAGTTTGGGTAATTTAATTTTGAGGTTTTGTTTTTGTGCACAGCTTGGACAGATAATGCTGATACCTTTGTTGTTAGCCTTGAATCCCCAGGCACAAAAATTTGAGTCCTGTTTGGTTTTTTGTCTCATTCATAATCTTTTTTTGGTTTCTAGGCTGTCGAAAATCTTTGTTCTTACAAAGTTTCTGCTACACTGTACAAACAACTGCGACAAGTCTGTGAAGATCATGTGAAAGCACAAATCCTTCAGTTCAGAGAATATCCTTTTCTCGTGCACAGAAGTGGTTAGAATGGTTAGTTTAAATCGTTACTTTAAGGAACAATGCTTTGCAAAAATTATACCAGTAGTACTTACATATTTTCATATCAGGCAGAAGCAACTTCAGTCATCTGGGTGAATGATTTTTGTGTACTGATAAGTAACATGCTAATAGCAGTTTATTTATTGTTTTAATAGGAATGCAAATTTTACACCTAATCTGGAAAATTTCAATAGCACTATGAGATTTAACAGCAGGTATGGATTTTTATGTCAGGTGAGTAGTGGAGATGCTTACAGTACCAGTAGGTTAAAATCACCACAGTAATTTTCAGCAATAGAATTCTCAATCATATTCAGTTCTCAGCCCTCTTTTCTGAATCCTGTTGTGCTTTGCATGCTGAGACTGTGCTTTACATGACAGTTGTCTTTTGTGCAGTAGCATGCAGGTTGCACTTGCTCAGGCAGTAGGATAAATAGAGTTTATGCTCACCTGACTGTCCCTGTGTTCCTGGAGAGTGCCTTAGCCAGCAGGTGCTGGAGAGTGCCATACTGAACAGATACTACAGTACTTCGGGTGCTAGCAGTGTCCCAGGTCTCTGTATGTATTTTTATTAGCAGAAAAAGGTGGGTTAAAATAGAAACAAGGGACTGGGGCCCAGAAAGAACCTTCTTTCCAGGTGAGTGCCTTGAATGTGATTTGGATTGTGACTCTCAGTTTGTCAGTTCAGTGCATTCCCTGGGTAGGTGTCTACATGCATAAATACAGTTACTTAGCTAAGTCCCAGGATGGTTTTGGGTTGTGTGTTTTGGGGGCATTTTTTGAGTCCCAGTTAAGGAGTCTGTCTTCTACATACCATGTAAGAAACTTAGGTACATAAATGAACACTGTGAATTCGCCTCTTATATGGCAGCTGATTTCTTCATTACGTTTACTTTGATGCATTTAAAATCACATCTGACTAAAAAGTACATTAGTCAGTACAGTGGTCTCTCAAACAGAACTGATCTCTGAGAACCAAATGTTAAAGTCTACTTTAAAGCAGTGTACAGTCAAACATTTTTTGTATCCCTGCCTTTTTAGATGATCTTCTGAAAAGATATTTTAAAACTGGTGTTTTAAAACTTGGCTTTCTCCCTGCCCTCTGATAGAGCTGGTGGTTTGGAGAGTTGAGAATTTTATAGTTTACAGGTATACCACTTTATATCCCAAGGACATGAGATCAGATTAATCAGATTTGTCCAGAGAGAGTTGGAGATGATACTGTGCAGGAGAGGAAGGTAAAGCCACGTTTGGATTTACTCGTATGACATGTGAGAATTGTGTTATTCGTAAATAACAGTTGGATCTGTTGTGTAATGAAGAAAACTATAGTTTACATAGGGAGACCTGGAGATGTCATGAAAAGACCGATATTTGGATTTGTTGAGGATTATTTAGAACTGTAACTGCTTTTGAGAGATTAGGGTCACTCCTGTTGTGCACAGTGTGAACTCATTAAACAAACAAAATAAACCTTTCTGTTCCTTTCACATCAGTTGGTGACAAGGTTGTTTTTGACACTGGTAGGATTTCTTGTTTAAATCTGTATCAAAGTTATACAGTACAGCCACTAGATGGTATTACTGAAGAGCAGGGAATGTTATTCCTTGAAAACATAGGGAGGCCTTTTGGAGAACTGCTAGTCCCTCTGCTGGGCAGGAGCTCTGCAGTTAACGGTTTATCCCTGGGCAGTCACAGTGACATCAGAATATCCATGGAGCATCTTTGCTTAATGGCTGGCAAACGTCATCTCCAGAATCTGGCCTCAAAAGATACCAGCAAGCTAGTTTTCCTTAATAGGTGCTGTACAGATTCTCTGGATAGTCTTTTGTTTCTAAAGAAAATAAATAAATGCTGGCAAGATCATTGCAGACAAATGGTAAGTTAAATGTTTGTTCAGAATACATATCCTTGAGGTGTGAAATCTGGCAAAAAGGAGTTTGTCATGGTTTTGACTTGGGACTGCATTGCACCTCCTCCAAGTTTCAGCATTGCCCTTCACTTTCCCCTTTGCTAGCTGGGGGCAGTTTTGTTGTTGAAAGTTTATATTCTGTCATGTTAACTGTGACTTTCATAGGTTTCATATCAAGTTGGAATATCACTCGGGAAATATATTGACACCTGTTTTCTATGGGTGGAAAGAAAAAACAGGCTATGCTGAAATTGCTGTTTGTGATTTGAAGTAATTGCAGAATCCACAGTGTTTGCCTTTAGGTAGCTGCAAGAGCTAGGTTAATTTGAGTTGTTTTTTATTGTTGTTTTGTCAAGGCAGAGATGATTGTCCTTTCTGTAGGGCTAAGAAACAGGAAGATTAAAGAACTGAAATTCGGTGTCTCTTTCTTTCTGCCCTTCTTGCCTTCTACCTCCATAATGAACTACATTACAGAAAAAAATCCTCTCTCAAAAACACTGTGTGAATTGGGAATGTCCCTTTAAGAATGCATCATTATAATTCTAAACCAGGATTTTACAATGAGTTTTCATTGCAGCGTCACTTCGCTTTGGCTACAGATGTCCCAAATGGTTGCATTTCTATTTTAATTCCTCAAATCTACCTCTCTCCCCTCCCCTGTGGGGGATGGGCAGAGGTACGTGATTTTTATCCGAAATAAAAATTGAAAGCGTTATGGAAACTGTTCAAAGCAAATTCAACAGTCTGATGAAAATAGAGTTGAAGTTTTATTGCCTTGAAAATGGAGTTAAACTGGACCTATATTTTTATGAAAAGACTTTCATGATGAACTCTGTTCAATTACTTCTGAGAGTTTGGTTTTTTTACTCCTCAAAGCAACAACCTGTAGCAAGTGGCTTTCTTGCCTGTGTGCTGCGTTAGCATTTGTGGTATTTAAGAAAAAAATCAGCCTCACTGCTGTTTTGCTTTAATATGCTTGGCCAGCAACTATGCCAGCTTGAGAATTGCTGTAGAAGCAATGAAATCTTCTAGCAGAGGACTAGGTGGGAATAGAAATCTCTGTAGCTGGCCTGGGGATGAGTTTGTTACTGACATCCTGAGTTACTAATGCTAAACTGAAAGCTGGGCAGCCTTTTTATGAGCAAAGTTAAAAATGGATTTTGAGTGTAAAAGAGCTAAAAAACACCTCCTTCTCCCACTTTTTTAATTTTTAAAAAAGAGAATGTATTTTTATACCTTCTTTCCAATGTTAGAATTGGTGTATCTGTGGTTTCCTATGATTTTTGGCAGCTAACTTTTATTATGAAAAGATCTGTTGCACAGCTTATTACTGTTTCTGCTTAAAGCTTATTTTTTTTTTTAAAAAAGCAAAAACTATGGCAGCATGCTATTTCAGGGTGTTTACTGGATGTCTTGGTGGTACTGCTTGAATGTATGTATCTTGGTAGCAGTAAAACTATTAACAGGCTAATAAAACTATTTAGTTGATGGTTATGAATTTGAAAACTGTCTTGGATGTACTTGACAATACTGCTTAGTAGTAGTATTAACATCAATAAATTACATACCACTGGGTGTATGAGTTGCCATAGAAGTTGAAAATACATACATCACTAATTAATGTGCATGTCTATGGGATGTAGTTTTTCAGAAGTTGTTTTATAATTCCAAATACCATGTGATGGTGAAGACAAAACCATTTTCTTAATGTATTTTCAGATCATGATCAGAAGCATTTTCTTATTTTTGGATCGTACATATGTACTTCAGAATTCAATGCTTCCTTCTATATGGTAGGTATCCATGTAAGTATTCCTCGAATCTTCAGAGTTTGAGCATGCTATTATATTGGCAAAGGTTAAAAATGAATTTTTCACATAATATTTGGTCTGCGTAATAGGGGTCTCAAATTTTGTGTTAGTTCATGGAAATATATGTGTCAGTGCATGCATGTGTCATTTCCTCCTTCCCCAGGAATATTCGTTGTAATGTAGAGTGTAAAAGAAGAAAAAGGTCTGTGAACATATGCTTAAAAGTCAAGGCATATATATAGCTGTAGTTGTCATGATCTGGGTGAGGCTGGCTGTGTGGAGAACCTCCTCGGGCTGCTGCCTCTGTGCCTTGCCACTTGCCCAGCGTTGCTTTAGGTGCTCTGGTTTTGACAAAATTCGACATTCGGCTTCTTGCTCTGTTTCTTTTAAATAAGTCAGGTACACTGACAAGGTGTAGATCGTCTTTCCAGCACTGGCCTCTTGAGAGTGGCTCACGGCACTGAGGTGATGATGCTGTACTTTCAGCACACCACAGTCACATCTTTGGGCGTTCTGTTTTTAAGCATCCCTACTGAGGGGCACTTTATATCACTGCCCAAGCAAATAAAGCGTGGCTTTGCTGAAAATTCTATTTTTGTTACTCCAACTAAAGCAAAAAAAAAATGTAGATAAAGTACTGAAGTAAGAGCACGCATTTTCCCTGCCTGGGTGGCTTCTGCACTCTCAGGAGTTCCTCAGGCTGTCTGAGGAAACTGGCATCCTTCTCCTGCCCCTTGCCCATCCTGTGGACCATTTCCTTCCAGACCTCTGCAGTAATTTTCCTCCAACTCTTTCTGTTAGGCTTTCTTTTACTAAACATTGTTGAAAAGGCCGGTTCATACTTTGTGTCTTTTTTCCTCATACTGGGAAAATTCCCTTTATTGAAATCCTGATGCATGTGAAGAAGTATGAGGTAACAAGTTTTCTCTGAGATACCTCTGTTTTCCTTGGCCAAGACAATGTTTAATAATTGGCTGCTTTATGGCATGGAGGTGCCATTCCTCATCCTCTTAGAATGAAATGAGAATCTGATACAGGTGATCACAAGGTCCTAAACATACAAACAATTCATGCATTTGAACAAAACTTATAAAATGCACATAGATTGACTGATCCAGGGAACCTTATGTTAAAGTATATGTTCAGATTTTGTATTTTCATAATAGTAATTTTTTTATTAAATGGAGAACGTTATAGTCTGTTTTGTGAAATATGGACAGGCTTGTTACAGGTCTCAGCTGAAATGTGTGTATTTGGTAGTGTGTGGCCTGCTGTTTTTTAGATAATTCTTGTCACAGTTTTCTTAGTGAACAGTGTCAAAAAGAATATGCACACCATTAATATATTCTCTTTCTGTGTAATATATATACACTATATGTATTTCATATGTATTTACTTTTCTCAAACCGAGATGCAGGATTTTGAGAAGAATGAACAGTGTGATTTATTAATTTTTAATATTCACACAGGGATATGGGGCTAGAGTTATTTAGAAATCATGTTATTAGTGACAAGCAAGTTCAAAATAAGACTATTGATGGAATCCTCCTGCTGATCGAACGAGAGCGAAATGGTGAAGCTGTGGACAGAAGTTTGCTGCGGAGTTTGTTGAGCATGCTGTCTGATCTGCAGGTGAGAGAAGCAAACTTTACTAATAACTATGTTTAGAAAAGAGTTTGGACTTTTCTAATTCTTGTGCTGTACAGAAATAATTTTATTCTTCAAGTACATGTGCTTCCAAATCTAGCTATTAGATTGATAAGATTGCCTCTTCTTTACCCAATATGCAATCTTGTATTCTCTGCTTTTAAATGAGACCTCTCTGCTTGTTTTCCTTAGCAAAGATAGTGGCCTGCAGACTCTTGAAGAATAGATATGCAAGTCTTTTAGGATATGCAATATTTTGTCTGTCTTAATCACTCATTTTCTAATCCTAGTGCCAATTAAATGTAGGACTGAAAAAAGACCACCTCTGTCACTGTGAAAAGATGTCACTTTTTGCAGTCCAGATCCTGGGTCTCTATCACAGAAACATCACTGTATTGGCAACTTCTTAGCAGAGGTGCCAAGGACAGAATAGGATGCAAAGTTAAGGCCAAGGTTTTCAAATATATAAGGTCAATCTGTAACTTACTGGAACTTTCTGTTAGCATAGATACTAAGTAACCAAATCGACTAAAAAATGCTGTGCTGCTGACTTTGGCATAGGCTGTCCTCTAGTTGACATTGCAGCCTTATGTAATGTGCAATAAAACTTAGAAGCTGTCTTTCATTCTTAAAAACTGTTGAGGTTGCTCCATTCAGAGTGGTGTACAGCATTGTGAAACTGGCTGAAGGTTTAAAAAAGAGTTCAAAGAGCAAGACTGCATAAAATAGTCCTTTTTAGTCATGCAACTTACTTGCTTTTCTGCCTTTCATGTTGATTGTCCTGACTTTCATCCATAACTTTCTCTAATGTTCCAGAAAAATTAATGACTGATTATTCTGTTCAAGAGAGAAGGCAAACTTCTGTCACTGATTTTTCAGATCACGTAACCCGGAGGTGTGGATCTGACTTGTGTGCTTTTCCCTGCTATTTTTCCCATTGTTATTTGCCAGGTTTCTCTAACTGCATCAGCTTTTTCTAGGTGTTGACTTTTTAAGATTTATTATTTTTTAGCAAAATACTCTGCTAACTAAACATTACCCTTTATTGGATCCTTCTTACAGAATTGGATTTAAGTCTACATTTTCCTTCATTTGCTCAACAATGTACTTTTCTGTTTCACTAAGGAAATTAACCTAGTCTAATCTGTTCTTTTATGTCAATTCACCGAGATAGAGATGTGCTCATAATCCTGTTATTATAAGCCAAGATCTCTACTTCTCCCTCTTTCAACAGAAGTTAGCTTCTGGAGAAAGATTAATTAGTTAAGAAAATCTTGTATTTCATTTGAAAACAATTAATCTCCAACACATTCCTGAGTTTTAGGCAATTGTGCAATTGAGGGCCAGCTGCTGAAAGTTGATTCCTGCTTGCATAAATCCCATCCTATAGCTGTTTCCTGTTGTAGAGCTTTACACGTGGTTTATGCAGAAAATAGTTCCATATACTGTTATGTTAATGTTTTTCCAGTTATCCTGAAGGAAAGGAAGGTAAGAAATGAAATCTAGTACTTGATTCTGTTGAACATGGAGCTACTGTAAAGAGAAGGCTGAAACAATGAGTTGATGTCTGCTTGTGATGCTGAATTGGTGAACTGTCATGCTCTGAACACTTGTCAAGCCAGAGGTCTCATATTTGAGTTTGCACTGAAAAAATCAAGCTTTTAAAAGTCCTTAAGAGAAAAAAAGTGGCCAGAATGTGATGAATTTTATAGCTCTAGTATGTTTTGGAAGAAATATTTTCTTCTATTCTTCCACCATGCTCATGGAATCTTTCATTTTTCTTTTTGCTCACTTCCCTCTGTTTACATGTTATTCCCTAGCTGCCTTCTCCAGACTGTTTTAACTATTTTATATTGTTGTCCTTTCTAAGTTATCTCCTTTCTATACTTACCTGTTAACTATTACGCAGAATTTTTTCGATGTCTGTTATTGTTGGTCGTGCCCTTTTTTACACACCTTATTCCTTCCCTGGTGTTTTGGTTTGGCCTGGATAAATGCCAGGTGCGCACCAAAAGCGCTCCATTACTCCTCCTCTTCAGCTGGACAGGGGAGAGGAAATATGGTGAAAGGCTCGAGGGTTGAGACAAGGACAGGGAGAGATCACTCGCCAATTATCGTCACGGACAAAACAGACTGAACTTGGGGAGAAAAGGAAATTTAATTTATCACCAATCAAATCAGAGCAGGATGGTGAGAAATAAACCCAGATCTTAAAACACCTTCCCCCCACCCTTCCATTCTTCCCAGGCTCCACTCCAGCTTCTCTCCCTCCTCCTCCTCCCACCCACCCCCCCCACCCCTAGCTGCGCAGGGGGACAAGGAATGGGGGTTG